GGGAATGGTATCTAACTTCTTTTCTTATCCCATATAATAACACCACGTCATAAAAGTGTTTTACCATTTGCAGATGACACAGAACTTCATGCAGATCTTTTACTGTCACTTGACCAACTTTGCACCGAATCAAATATTTTCATTGGGTTAGTATGCAATAGTGCCACCACTAAAATTTGCTTTGTGTTCTGTCTGAAAAGAAAGGTAAGGCCCGATCTCACAGACAGCATTCTGCAGGTGGCAAAATTAGAAGCACACTGCCTTTTTTAAAACAATCAAATGTCACAAGTAAAAAAAAAAAGGCTTTTTATGCACCTTTTTATTGTTGCCAGGCAACCACCCCATCACGTCCTCGCACTAACCTACCATGTAATCAATCTGCTGTTTTTTGGTATTTTAATTTCACAGTAATTAGTATCTAGTTCCTAAAATGTCCAGGCAGAGCGTACTCCATCATTTCAACTGTAAAGTTGTCATGACCACCACAGAAAGCCCACCTCTCAAAGCATCCAATTGGTCAATGGGAAAAAAGAGGACGAAAAAAAGATGCCTGATTTTCTGCTGCCTTGACCGCCTTGTATCTCCTCAAGGTCACTTACGCTGGATTTATATGCATCAAATCGTAAGCTGAAACCATTTCCCTCAGTGGAAAGAGAGCTTTTATTTACTTTAATTTCACAGATAAACAATAAATTGTGAAGACAATAAAGCCTCCACAGAAATAGCATTTTATTTATTTATTTTAGATTATTTTTTTGGGCTTTTTGCCTTTATTATACAGGACAGTGTGAAATGGGGAGACAGACAGAGTGGTGGGACGACATACAGCAAAGGGTTGCAAGCCGGAGTCGAACTCTGGACCGCTGCAGCAAGGCATCACCTCTATATATGGGGCGCCGGCACTATCCACTAAGCTACCGACGCCCCAGAAATAGCATTTTAAAGGGGTTCATGTCATTGGTTCGACATCCCATTAGTCCGACTGTCCGCGGTGCTGAATGGCTTGCGTCGGGCGTATGGTGCGCCGCGACCGGCTTGAGGCGGAGCAGGCTCACGGCTTATGTGTTTGTCACTTTCTTTTTCATTTTAACCCACACCATGATCTTTTCCTGACCCTAACCAAGTGGTTTTTGTGCCTAAACCTAACCAGACCTTAACCACAGGGCATCATGATGATTTCGGAATAGACTTCGGAACAATGAGTTTAATATGGTCGGAACAATGGGATGTCGAACCAATGGGCAGTTCCCTTTTAAAGATGTTTTTTTACTTTTATACTCAGCTCTATGCAGAGCCTTAGCCTTAGCCTACGCATGTGGCCTTTGCCTTTGCCTTTGCTAGCATTTGTTCTTGTGCGGTGGTCTCTCTGTGTCACTCTGCAGTTACACCTCCAAAACACTAGTTGGTGGCGGGGGATTCTGTGAAGTGCTGTGAAGTTTAGTTGATTCAAAACACACATTAAACACACATTAAACATGGCTTAATAGAGACCATTTCAAACACACATACACAAATCAGCTTCACTATAACTCGCAGCATTGACAGACAAACACTTGTCTTTATCTGGACACATTTTCTCCACAAATACAACATGCTAACGTTATTAGCACAAGTCTATGGCATTTTACATTGTATAAATTAGCCTAGCATGAAACCAGGGACAACAGCGACATTTAACAAAGGTAACATTACAAAATTTGGCTCCATTACAACTCATAAGATTCACTGACAAAACAACTGTCATACTAAACACGTTTTCCAAACAAATACAACATGCTAACGTTATTAGCGCCAGCCTATGGCATTTAACATTGTATAAAGTAGCCTAGGAACTAGCAGAGATTTCCTCTGCTCATATGAAGCCAGGATAAATCACAAACAACACTTAAAATGCTATTTAAGTGGAGGCTTTACTGTCTTCACGATTTATTGTTTCTTATCTGTGAAATAAAAGTAAATAAAAGCTTCGTTTCCACTGAGGGAAATGGTTTCAGCTCACAGAAACAGACAGGAGGTCTGCGTCACTGCAATGTGTAGTTACAAATCTGAGTAGGTAAGAATAAATCATGCTCTTATATTACTTATAGTAACAGTTTCACCTCCAAAGGAATCTCTGATCTTACTTTGTACCATCTCTGCTGTATTTTCTGTAACTAAGCAACCAATCACTGAGTAGACAATCTACTTCCTGTTTACTTCAGTATGCACATACCCAGTGTGTGTGAATAGTCATGTGATATGGTATTTCAGGTGTGATAATATGGACAGAGGTTAATTCTGAAATGGAATGTTTTCATTTTAAAACGCCATTTTAAGCTGATACCATGTTTGTATATGTGGCCAAAGACTAGCTTAATTGCTAACAATCATAGATGAGGAGCATCAGGCTGAATTAGCAAACTGAAATGACAAAAAAAAAATGTATGTATGGTGTATCACATATAAAATTAAATAGGAGATTCAGCCCCCAGTAATTAGTGTGCCATCCCTAAATGCAAAGCAAAATCAAAAGCCCTTCAGACAACTCATTTATATATAAGTAATAATTAGAAATGTAGGTCCTGTAATCCATATGAAGGAATGAGTGGGTAACGTTAATGATCATTCAGCCTTGGTTTGGGGATTTTTATGTCTAGTGACACATCCTATCAGCATGTGTAACATGAATGTACCAGAAACAGTCTGGAGCTGATCCACACATTGCATTATCTAGACGAGAGCACCTGTGTTGAATATCCGTCCACATTAAAGGTGGAAATCTGTCTGATATTAATGGTTTGGTAGAGACGTCCTGGTCCTACAGTGTGGTGCATCCTCACAGCCGCTCATTCAGCCCTGATGTGCTGTATCTCTACATGTGAGTAATACTGACTGCAGACAGGGTGGGGGAGGAACACTGAGGAGGTAACCACACCAAAGTCACCACCAGGCCACCAGGGTATATTGTGAGGCTCATTATAGTGCATTAAACAGCCTCCCTGCGGAACAATGAGAGGCCCCGCGGCCCCGAGGCAGAGCCCGAGGCTGGCTGGGACTGATATGGAGACCCAGGGGATCCTGCTCACCCGGGCCTGTCACTACCAGACTTTCATCCGCAGCTGCCAAACTCCATTCTCCTCCACGTCTGTCGTCAGCCACTCTCCAGGCTGATACTGCCGAGAGCACTGTGTGAAATGAAAGAATAAAGTACAGTGTGAAACCCTCATGTTAGAGTCGTCCTGTATCTCTCTTAAATGGTGCCTATGTGTGGGATCTTATCTTCATTATAATATATGGGAGGTTTATGATTGAGTCATCTCTCTGGAGGGTTTTGGACATTTTTGTTGGAGGTAGGATGCAAATAAAAGCTAAATAAATATGAAGGAATTGTTAATGTATTATTGAATAGTATCTGTATAAGTAAAAGGAGTCTATAGCAGTTATAGATTTTATATTATTCTATTTTTACTTTAAATTATTTGTATTTTTCACGTATATATGTGTATTTTTTTTGTCTGGTTGTATTCATCACTCAGTCATGTTTTTCCCTTTTTCTTTTGTTTCTGTCTCTTGAGCGCCCAGTGATGTGTGAAGTCCCCTGAGGTGGGATTAATAAATATAATAATATATATAAATAATCTAAATATATAAAATAATCAAATAAATCACAAGGCGTGGAGAAAGAGTTAATAAAAATCCGATGAAATAAACATAATTTTGTGGTGAAGAATACACAGCATGTTTCTTGCTTTCCTATCCAAACGTCTTTAGACTTAACTGGCGACCCCTTGTGGGTGTCCCGACCTTCAGATTGGGAACCACTGCCCAAGTTACAATAGTAATTAAATGGATTAAATGGATTAGGGTAAGATGGTGCAGGATGTCCCCGCCCCCATAACTCCTTCCAAACCAATACATGGCACAAAATCTACTCTGAACACACACATATTCTAATGCACTGTGACATTTCATCAGATACATAGATAGATAGATAGATAGATAGATAGATAGATAGATATTTGGAAGATTTATGAGGGAAGTCATTCAGTTTATTGTGTTAAAGAAATAAGATTCCCTATATGGAGTGTAGACTGGTAGCTTGGAGAGGTGTCAGTTCACCTCCTGGGCACTGCTAAGGTGCCCTTGAGCAAGGCACCAAACTCCCAACTGCTTGACGCGCCTGTCCATGAGCATATCTTCTTCCTCTGTAGTAATAATAATAATAGTAATAATAATAAACCCCCAAACAACTGTCATTGTCATTTCCCTATAATTAATACCAAACTACGTATTTATATTTAAGGTGATGTGTGGAGTTTTATTTGGAATAAAGAAAGACCTGTAAAATAAAGCTTTAAAATAAAGCACATTTTTAGATTGACATGACATGAACACTTTTTTAACTATACGAGTTTTTAATTTAATTTGATTTAATTTAATTTAAACCTGTGAACCCTGAATAAATAGTGCAATTTCTTTCAGAAAATTGGGAAAAAGGCAACGAGCAACTTGGGAAGAAATGTTCCACAAATTGCAAAATATATTTATTTTAATTTATTTAGAAAATTATTTAAAAAAAAAAAAAAAAACTAGGGAAAACCATATTTCTAATTTTCCTTATTAATATATTAAAAATTATTTTTACTAATGTTCTTGTTTTTAATTTTCTATTTTTACCAGTTTCTTGCTAATTTTTGGGGTCATTTCTTCTTTCTTTGCTCATTGCCTTTTTTCCATGTGTTTGGAAGAAACCAAGCCAATTTGCTCAGGTTTCAAAGGGTTAATTTAATTTATTTAATTAATTTATTCATGTATTTATTTTAGTTCAAGTTGTGTGGTTATCTTTCCATTTGATTACCCATTAAAATAAATTATTGTGCCTACTTTTTTTTTGGGGAGGGGGGCAAAATTAATTTATTTATTCATTTATTTATTTAATTCCTGTGTCCCTGTGTAGAGGGGAGGAGGAGGTGATGGGGGAGGAGGTAGAGGAGGAGGAGGACCCGCTGCTGACGGTGCTGCGCACGCAGCTTCAGTCTGGAGTCGCTACGACGAGACCGCAATGAAGAGATAAATATAAGGCTTATGTAGGCTATTTATTCTAAAGTGTTGGTGGTGTGAGTGTGAGACACCTGAGGGAGGTCAGCAGGTGAGCAGAGCTGCTGATGAGCCTCTCTGATCTAAAGGTGAGTAAATATCAGTGTCTGTGTTACACTGGCTTTATATGGCAGAATTAGATTAAAGGGCAGCAGATGAGACAGGCTGAACGGAGGCTTTTCTCATCTCTGCGTCGCTCAAACATTAATTCGTTTGAACATTAGCACGTGGATTAACCAGGATTTTTTCAGCCAGTAGCACGCGCTCGGTTTTAAAACGTTTTAAAGCGTGTTTTCGTGTTTAAAGGTGATTTGCGCAGCTCGCTCGGCTCGTTTAACGCCAACTGTCAGCGCGAGCTCGTTTTTTTAAATATACCAACGGAAACTTTAAAAATAACGTGTTATGATTGAGCGCGAGGACCCCTCACGGTGCCGTATATTGGTGTGTTAATGGCAGCGGAGCGTCACGCGCCCCTCAGCCTTTCATGTTCCAGCCGTGTGATGTGTGGAGACGTGCGCATACACGGCGCACAGCCTCCCTGCTTTTCATGGCGAACCGTCGGCTGTGTGAGGGACCAGACTCATCAGTGAGCGGCCTCACAACACGCAGATGTGTCTGGGAGCACGGTCACAGTGTGTACGGTGTCTGTGGGGGTTTTAAAATGTCACCAGTGGAGAATTAAGGCATATATCCTCAGATGAACCCGGCGGTGTCACATCAGGGCCTGGTACAATAGACTGGTGTCCCATCATCACATGGGCAATGACAGAGCTGATGTCAGAAAATAGCTTCTGCACAAACACCTTCATATGTCTTACTCACACATGAGCAATTTATAATGTTTCTAATTTAAATATTCAGTTTTTTCTCACTGATATCTCTAAACAGGGGCGTAACCTAAATTTTAGAGACAGTAGAAGGGTGTCTGGGTCCTCCTCCATGAAAACATTGCAATTTAAATTTAATTTCTTGCAATTCTACAGACATGTAGGCCCTGTCTACATATTTAGAGACAAAGCGCCAGTGCCGGCGGTATCATAGGCAGTATAGGTGAATGCTAAGGATGCCATCACCCATAGGGGGCGCCACAGATGGGAGGAGGAAAAAATCCAGGGCTGCCCAAGACTAAGAATTTCCCTATCGACCATTAGTCATCATTTAGGGCCATTCATCGACTAGTCACCAGCATGTTTACGATGTTAATGTAATTATTAAATGATATATTTTAGTGGTTTGAGTTGAAGGTGTGAGAAAGAATAGTATCAGTAACATTGTTAACACTGTGCTACATTACAGAGAAATACAAATCCGTACTAATGAACCTTCATTAATATAGGCCTGTATTTTATCTACAAGTGCACATCACACACTGAGCGAGCCGCCTGTTAATGACGCTATGGGCTAATGGGCATGTAGCTACTTCCATGTTTCAGATGATACGTCATGTTTGTAGTCGACCAATAAAGATGAGTTTACATATCACATATATATCACCTTGGGTCCAACACACGCCAACTTTCACCTGGGAGGCCGATGTTTATGTCCTGTAAGATTGTAAAGCCAAACCCTGTTCTTTTTTCCTACACTTAACCACATGCATTAGTTGTTGGAGGTAAAAGAGTCAATTCACGTTGTTGCACTGATGTGCATTTATTTTGAAAGAGACTGTATGTAGAGGTTACATTTTTGTGAAAACAGTGTATTTTGAAAGAAGACAATGCATGTAAGAGGCAGAACTTGACACGGCATCCCAGAATGTCAACAACCAACACACCCAGGGTACCTTTCCCGTCGTGTCGGGATGTGGAAGGTCCATGACCAAATGTCAATATGTGACGAGGTCGGAGTGAGAATGTGTTGGTACTTACTTATCTTAGAGGAATGATCCCACTGAATGGCCAGTAGTGACATACTTTAACATCTATAACTATTCGATCCAATCACCCGTTAAGATCATCATTTAAACTAACAATGATCAAAACAAGGATTTACAAAGCTTAGTTAGATTAAACCAAATGCTTGCTGCACATATACGGAGTGTCAGGATGTCACAGTTTTCTAATATCTTCCTGCAGATGCCTGTTGGTAGTGTGTCCCACCACAAAACAGCTTATATGTATTTTTGTGTTGTTTGCTAGCAGACAGTAATGACAGGGAGGCACCTTCATGCAACACAGTCAGTGGAGAGCGATGAATTGTTTTCCCTACCAGTGGGGGTGGGACTTAGGATGCATTCACACCAGGATCGTCCGGGGGGCTCGGTTAGATTGGGCAGGGAATGCTGAAAAATTTCACACCTTCATTTGGTTCAGTTCACTTTCACACTGCACTTTTTAAAGCGGACCAAACTGCCTGGACAATGTCACGCAGTTACAACAGCTGCTCGTTTGGGGGTGGTATTGCCCGAAATGACCACTGACCAGGAAGAAAAAAAGCATGAGGAAGAAGAAAACTCATCGATTGGCCAGGACCGAAAATGGAAATCCATCCCCTTAGGGTTTGCTCGTTTGGTCCGCACCACAGTTCGAATGAGCATTCACACCACTCCAAACAAACCAAACTATCTGTGGAAGCGGGCCGGGGTTTGTTTAAAGCGGACTAAATAGCGGCAGTGTGAATGCATCCTTAAGGATGGTTTGTGCAACCGGTTTTATATGAGTTAGCATTTTAGCACTCTCGGTTCCCTCGTCTCGAAGTGGGTGGTTTTTTTAAATGGGTTTTTGGTTGGATGCCTAACATAAGTAGTTAACACAAGCTCAACCCTTTGAAATCTGGAGCGACATCACATTTCTTGTGCTGCTTTCAGACACCTTTCACATGTATTTAAACCTTTGAACCCTGAGCAGATTGGTGTGATGTCGTTCAGAAACATGGGGATAAAGGCAACGAGCAACTTGGTAAGAAAAGCCCAACAAATTGCAAAAGAAAAAAAAAATAGATTATTTAATAATAGTTTATTTAACATTATTTAAATATAAAGAAAAAAGCTTGGGAAAAACTTTATTTATAATTATCGTTATTATTACATTTAAAATTATGTTACAGAATTATTCTATTTTTTTAGGCATTCTTTCCAGGTCATTTCCTTGTTTGTTTGTTTTTAACTTTTTGTTCTTTACTAATTTTCTTGACTAATTTCTTGTTATTTTTTGGGGACATTTCCTCTTTAGTTGCTCATTGCCTTAAAAGAAATCAAAAGAGCACCAATTTGCTCAGGTTTCAAAGGGTTAAGAGACTTTAACGTTTTATTTTACGACATTAGTAAATTGCCCACTTGCTGTTACTTGCTTCCTATTTGGTGCTGAAGCCTTTACATGTTGTAAATAAGGCAGTTGCTAAAAAATGGTTAAATCAGATTACAGAACTTCACCATGTCAGACACTACTTTACAGCATGACTTTACATCTTCTTTGAGTTAGCTGCTAACTGCTACCTATTACTTTTTAAATCTCCCCCAGTTGGTCGCACGTATAACACATCATCAGTACATCTCACCTGTGCCGCCCATGATCCCATCCTGCAGCTGTCCCGTTTATACAGACATTGTTTCGGCACTGTTTCCTGGCTCAGAGGTGAGACAATTCTGTCCCCATATTTCGCGAACATAACTTACATACAGAATGGAGCGACGGCATATCGGCACGATATTCCCATCTTGAACAGGCAGTGTAAAAGGAGCTATTATTTGCTGATGGAGAAGAGGCCAATTCATTAGGGATGTCCCGATCCAGCTTTTTCACTTCCGATCTGATACCGATATTACAGCCTTGAGTTTTGGCCGATGCCGATACCGATCCGATCCAAGCGCGTATTATACATATTCACTTATTTTGTTGTCAGTCATGTTAGAAAAGGTTTGATCAAGCAAAGAACAACTACGTAATCAGGTTAATTAGAATGATCCACAACAGTTGGTATGAGAAACTGACCTGTTTATTGTTAACAGGGTTAAATAAACAAACTTTAAACTTGAACATTAACATTAAATAAAAAATATAGCTGGTTTGCTTTGGCTGCTTTGGCCTCTTAATAAATAGAAAATGAATCAACACAAGAAATCTTTAAAATGTCTAACAATGAAATTAAAATAGCAGCAATACTCCACACACTTGTGCTTTGCCCCCTAATAAATAAAAAATAGATTAACACCACAAGACACTGTTGGCATTTAACAAACAATGCAGCCTTTCCTTTCCAGTTATTTTAGTAGTGTTTTTGTAGTCCATCCATGGCTCCAATTTCACTAATTGTGCCCAAAACAATGCCATCAGTGCTCTTTACTTAAACAGTAAGAGTGTAAACCAAATAAAAATATCACTCTCAGAAAACCAGAGCAGAAAACAAATAGTCAGTTAACTAAATTGGCCGCTACTCTTCCTATCCTCCGTGTGTATCTGCCGTCTGCATGCTGGCCTGGTGGATTGATAGTAAGAGCTGGAGCCGGATCGGAGTTCATGGATCGGCATTTTTCCATGCAGTCCGATCCGATGTCGATGCCGTTTTTTGCTAATATCGGCAGCCGATACCGATCCGAATATCAGATCGAGACATCCCAACAATTCATGGAGGAAAATAACAATTTTTATAAATATCTTTGTATGTGTAGACAGGGCCTTAGGCACTACGGTAACCAAAACAAAATCTGTGAGATAATGAAGTTGGTCATTATGTTAAATTCTGCCAGAATATAAATGAATGTGCTAAATATGCTGCTCCACTGTGGCTTCTTTTGAGCATATCAGAGCAAAATCAGCAGCTCAATTAACAGTGTCAGCCAGAATCTAAAGGCTGGCCACACAATAGCATTGTTAGCATGATTTTTGTGGTTAAAAATTATTAGATTTTATGTTTATACAAGTGGGATTTTGAAAAGTGCAAATTATACCTCAGCCTCTAAACATTTACATCCACTGGTCTTGTCCAGCCACCTATTTGCTAATGAGCACACTATAGTTCATATACATAACAATACTTGACCCGGCGGTGTTAACTCTTGGTATAAATGCATTTTAATGAGGTTATTTGGTTAAATATTCTCTCCATCTTACCCTTCGATGAGGATTTCTCAGTGGCAAACTCTGTAAAACAG